CGGGTAGCAGGAGTTACGGGAAGACTTTGCGGTTGTGTGCACGGAGACGCTCAGCTTAAAGCCCAGCTCTGCTTTTGTGCTGTGGTGGAGTCGCGACTGACTTCAACGTCAGTAAAGTTGCACCGAGTAACGCTGGAGCCTGGAAGTGATGCAGTTACCAAGCCAGTGAGGCACTCCAATTCCTCCTGTGTTTTAGAGTACATTGCGTCCTAATTTTTTTTTTCCCTTTGGTGAGTATGAAGAATATTATTAGCCTGAGCCCCAAATGTAACTCATCTTCGACAACCTATCTCCACGTTTATAACTTCAAAACAAAACAATTTTGGTAGGGCTAAAATTGGTCCCCTTCCTCTCACGATGCGTTTATTTTAGACTGCTAATTAATTTTTAATTTTTAGGGAGAATGAGATAACAGAGAAAGGCCAGGTAGTTGCTGTTTAGTATCAGTAACTAGGTACTGTTGGCAAAGAATCATTCATTTAAGATGTCGAGAGGCAGTTAAGGCTGTTCACATCTAAGTAATAATTATATAATGGACTGGAATGCCCCTGATTAATGAACGCCTGTTTTAAGATTGTAACTATAGCTTTTTAGGGCTATAAAAAGTTAGCTATCTAGCTAACTTAGTGTCTGATGTTATGTTTGTATGTCACTAATGTACTGGGGGCTTTCAATTCTCTTTCAGTGGATCATAGTTTTAAGTCAAGTGTAATCTAACTTAGAGTTTTACTATGTGGGTATTCAGACTCTGTTACACATGGGAGAAGAGGAATGGGGGAAGTCTTTAGTCATTTTGTCATGGTTTCTTTCAGTCTCAGAAGAAATAAATAGTAGGCTGCTTAAATGAAATTACAGGTTGCCTAAAATTCGCTATTATTTGGTTGATCATACATATGGTAATCTATGTCTCTTTTTTAACTGGAAAGCTGTATTTAGAGATTCACAAGATTAAAAAAAAAAACGGATAGCATCTTCTTTAGTCACATGGAAAAGACTTGGAAGTAATCCCAAGTACTTTTTCAAATGTTTTCTTTAGAATTTCTAGGAACATAACGTTTGTTGTTCTGTTTTCCTTAGACGAGATGACAAATACTTGAGGGGGGGAGGAGCCTATTTAGACTTCCAGTCACAATGTTAAATCTTTTGCAGCTTTCCTTTCAGTAGTTTACATTTACTCTCTGTAAACTTCCAGAATGATAAATGGCCCAAATAAGAAATACATCCATTTTCTTTCATGTTCTACTCGCCTTCAAGTGTGCTTGTGAATAAGCAGAATGGACAACAGCTTTGTGGCCTTGGGGGGGAGAGGGAAGAGTGGAAATCTCTCTCATCCAAATGGTCTTGAAAGATAATGTTTTTCAGACCTTCTTTAACAGCAGTAAACCCGGGTTCACTAGTTTACCTTGTATTGAAATTATCTTTAAGATCAGGAACATCTTCAGATTATCTTTAAGATCTCCAGGAATTTGGTGAGATTTGTGAACATGAATTTATAGCTCAAACACAGTATGTGAAGGTTGTTGAGTTTGACTCAACAAGGAGATGTAAGTTTATCTTATTCTCCAGTTATTCAGCTATCGCTTTTGAAACATCCAGATGATAAAGAGTTACTTTGTGCTCTCGACTGACTGTAGTTTGACAACAGTTGATGCATGACTTCTTAGCCTCTGGTATTATAAAACTTGTAGATGGTTCTGCTCTTGTTACAAACATCTGTTGTTGGGGTTTTTTTCCCCTGTTACGGGGATTCTTTGCAGAATCTTCTCAGTTTCCCACTGTCCTGAGTACTAAAAAACCTGTGCAAAAACTTAAGTTATTTAAAGTTGGCTTTATTTAGTAGTTATTTTACAGGTGATTTTATTTCGGTTAATGCTATATGTAAACATACATGATATTCACAGGGGGGAAAAAAACCACCGCAGGAAAAAGTGTGATGGACTGACTTGCCATACCTACACCAAAATTCTTGAAGCCTGGCCTTCTGTCAGTCCCCTGTTCGGTGTTGGGATTTTCTTTGCCAGCAGTCTAAGGTGAGGGAGAAAAAATGTCCTTCCAGTTAATAGTAACAAAAACATGCTGATTAGTTCCTACTGATAGCTAAACTGATTATTCAGTGCTGTTGACCATTATTATCAATTTGTCTGAATGAATTCTGAAATGGTTACAGTTAATCTGCTAAACCATTTAAGATTAAAGTAGATTTTATAAATCTCAACATTGTTTAATTTTTTTGCCTTTTTTTTTTTTGCAAGTTGGAGATACAGTGTTAAGCAGCTTTATACCCTACCCCTTCTTCAGTAGTCATAAATACTAGAGGTCTCTAATGTGCATATTCTGTAGAGTGCTTCAAAACAAGGGCTAGTTCGTGGCTTTTCAGCAGTGAAGGCACATTTTGTTTCATCTGTATGTACTAGTCCACCTTGCCCTGAAGGGCGGTGACTTTGATCTGAGAGGATATGAGTGCAGTGGATATGAGTCCAGTGGCATTGTATCTTCTCTTCCCTACTTGTTTGATCTCTTTTTACCCGACGGTTGAGGATATGAACACAGTTTGCAAGCAGAAAGCCGTGAACGTCTCTCTTTTGGGTTTGAAAGTTGCTTGGTTTTGGTACCCTGAACCACTTGAGTAGGATGATTCTCCTGCATAGGAAGTTAGCTGCAGTCGTGAAATAACAAATGGAGGGCTGCAGCTGCTGGAAGATGGAAGGTGAATGCGTGTCTGCCTTTCTGTTCCCTAAAGCTGCAGCTCTGCTGTCCTGAACAGTTGTCTATCACCTCTCTACATCTGGGTCTGGTGGAGTGCCAAAGGCAGGGTGACTGCATTGGGGGGGCTCTCAATGGTTGAATATGCATATTCTGTACTTCAGTGGCCCACACCAGATTCAACAAGTAGTTTATCTCTGACAGGAATTAAAAAAAAAAAAAAAAGTGCTAAGGAAGTTGCCTCTTGCTTTTAGAAACATTCTGCTTTCCTACAGCTTATTTTTATGGCACATCAGATTGTTTCTGCAACTTAAAAGTCTTGAGGAAAGCTAATTAAATTTAACAAAATGTGGAAGTTGTCACTTGTAGGCTGGGGAAATTGTTAACTGACTTGGCAAAGATGATCAAAACACTACATTTAATTATGTATGAGTAGGCCAGATTAAAATAAACTTTGTGTAAAATGCATTTACTCAGGTAACATATATACACATATACCTGTAGGCATATGTGCATCTATGCCTTACATTTGTGTATGTCATGCTAAAATGAATATTTTCAGCCATTCATTTTTTTTATTATCAAGTAATGCTGTCTCACAAATTAACTTGATGAAACAGTAGTATTACTCTGTCTTTTTTTCTACATGAGAACATAAAATTTGAATTTTAACTCAAAAATACTCCATCACAGCAAGCATGAAAGGTAACATTTTAATTTGATGATTCTATGGCCAGTGGCATTTCTTCTTAACTTTCTGAGATTATTCCAGATTATTTCACGTGTGTGTATATATAAATATGTAAAAAAAAATCTGAATGGATATGTAGAGAGAATGGGGAAGGAGAAGAAATATGTCTTCCAGAAGCTGTTTTCAAAAGCCTAATGCTGTGGTAAATTGCAGTATCTGATCACTTTTTCTAATAGACACTAATAATAATGTCTGTCTTAATGCAGATTTTATTGGTGAACTCCCATTAAAATGCAATCTTTGTTCCTCTGTTATTAGGTCTGTAAGTACTGCTTAACTGCGATCTGCCTTCAAAGGTACGATCTGTGAGTAAACCTGACTGATGCATTTAATGATGTTTGGAACTTTTCCAAGCTAGTATGAAATTGCTTGGAAACGTCAAGTGAGTTAACACTTGTTGTCTCTCTACTACCCAGCATTTGTTAGACTGCCAGCAGTAATAAGGAATGTGAAATTCCATGGGATCGGTGTCTGGGTAGAAGTCCTCGTGTATGTCCATACCTTGAGATAGCAACACAGGCCAAAACTGCAGCAGTGAAGACTTCTACCTTTCTTGGTATGCCACAGGAGAGATGGAGACCTGAGTGAAACTGAGCTGTACTGGTATTCAAAACTTGAGTTTTAAGGTAGAATCTGAAGATAGATGAGTGGTGTGAGTTGGACTGCTTGCTATCCAGAGCAAATGACTTCAGCAATTCTGGACACAAGGGGGACAATGAAATTCTTCTCTGCTTTCTATACAGCCACTGAATAAGCACTTCTTGTACACAGTTTTGCTTTTTCTGAACATTCTTAGTTTGTTACTTGTGATGTGAAAGGCAGTGACCCCTGTGGATGGATAGGTGTAATGAAAAGTAATCGGAAGTCCTGTGAAACAGTTGGAGAAAAGCAGTCTGTTAGGACTACCTTGCGCTCGTTGGAGTTTTGTTTTAGAGATGTTACCAAATAAAGATACCTGTAACAATGAAGGTAAAGTATATTCTTCTCTCTAAACCTATGCAATTGTGATTTTTAAGATGCAGCTTCGTCAGCCCAAGCATGGAAGGCACCTTATACGACTCTTAGATAAATCAGTTGGTACCAGCAGTTATTTTGTGGTTGTTATTGTGGCAAGAAACTTCGAATGAGAATGGGGTTCATCATTGTAAGGAGCTTCTAGTATTGTTGATGTGGGAAGCTTAAGTTCTTTTTGAAGCTTTGCAATGAGATAGAATAATCAATTACAATGAAAACTAGGTTGGTTATGTAAGAATTCGCTGTAAAGTACTGTTTTGTTACAGGTGATTTCTTGGTGCCATCTGTAGAGTGAAAGTAACCCAAAATGGTGATTAGCACGTTTTCCTATTAGTAGAGTCTCTTCACGAGTTGAAAGGAAAGGTGATGGAGTTCAGGTTGTATTTTCAAGCTCAGATCTGGCTTTTCCCTCTTGCGTGGTTAATAGTTTCTGCTACCTTTTGTGTGTTGCTATTGGCATTAAGGAAACCTTCTCTCACATACCTGTCTTCCATTCCTGGCCATGTTTTTCTAGCTTTATTTTAGCTATCTTGAAAGTTATCACTGAGTAAGGGCTGTGAAAGCAAGATCAACAGTAATTGAAACTGCTCACTCCCCGTCTATCTACTACTTCTGAAATGATGCCTGATGCATTGTTATTCTACAAATATTAAAGGAGATTTTGTGCAAAATACAGTTACACTTAAAATTATTTCAGTTGTCATATATCTTTTGCAAACTCTTTATTTTCCCACCATTTTCCAAAAATAGCATTTCTTTTTG